GGGGGGTTGAGAGAGGGGGGCTTACGCTCGGTAAGGTGAAAGTGCATCCAGGGATATCTTGGCAGATTCCCGAACTACATGGTTATATAGTGAAGCAAGTGCGCATTATGTTTTATTAAACATGAACAACTACTTGTAACAAGAGCTTATGCATGGTATGATTAAGAATTTAGACAGGCAGAGACAGTTCAATTGAGACATTTTTTAGAAAAATGGTGCTCGCTAGAAATAAAAAAAATAAATGCACGAAGCTCAATCAGTTGGTGACGTGGAATGAAAAAAAAATCAAAAACAAATTTGAAAATTTTTCAATGGTAAAATCTCAAAATGGAATAAGTTAAGAATTAAGCCATACACATCATAATTAATCTCCATGGCATTTACATAAAACCTAGCAAAAATAAGACTGATTAACTCCGATTTCCAATCAGACGAAAATGTTTTCTTCTAGCTAGCAACAGATAAACTCTTGTTTTTTGTTTTTTTTAACTTTGAAATGTTTTGAAGTCATTTTCTTAAAATCCGCTGTGACAAATTTTATAAAACTTTTAATATAGCTGGCTGTAGCAATGACAGATTAACAATCTCCAAGAAAACAGAAATGGAACAAATTATATGATTAACGCACGATAAGCTGTTAGAGTTGTGTACCCCGTGTAACAAACATGCGTAAAACAAAAACCAACGTGTGCGTACATTTATGCTTATCTACACCGACAGGCTACGCTAAAGCCCCTGCCAATTTAAGGAATAACAAAACTTGCAGGAAGCAGGCAAAATTGAGAAATCCTACTTGACCAATCCTGTGAACAAAGTCTAAAATCTGTACACGCAAAACGTTGGAAAAGTGTGAACCCACTTAGAGACAAAAATTAATTCCAAGTGTTTTTGTTAATGGCTCTTAAAATTACAGCAATGTGTTTCCTATGGTTATGATACATTCCAATACTTTGTGAATTGTTGTAATTTCCATTAAGTATTACTCACTGTAATTGTATTTATGGCGTCTTTGTATTACTATTATTATCAATGTTAAAAAATGACAATATTAATAAGTAGTTTGTGCAGAGAGCCAAATATGTATCAAATGTACAATCCCGTCCTCACTTATTTAACATTATTATTATTATTATTATTATTATTATTATTATTATTATATAATCTATTTCAGTTATACCTACAATATATCATGACTATACGGGGAACCCAAGATTTTGGTAAGTGTGTGTGTGTGTGTGTGTGTGTGTGTGAGTGTGTTGGGGGGGGGGTTGAGGGGAGCGGAGAAGCACTAGGGTAAGAATATTATGAATGCATTTGTTCGGCAAGAGTAAAACAGCACGAGGACAATTCGAACGGGGTTGAAATGACTAAGCTTCTTCTTCTTCTTCTTTTTTTGCTTCGCTTGTTATACTGTTTGTTTTAAGAAATGGAAGAAGGGGCTACCTCATGGGATAGATAAGGAAAGGCCACGTGCACGATTCAAACAATTTAAATGATCGCCTTTTTTAGAAGACGACGGTTGAAGATGTGCACGCAAGGAATACTCCATCTTGAATTTCAGTTTGGTAGTTTAACATTTGGAACTCAAAGCCTACTCGTGATGGAAACTACGACGTATTAAGTAGCAAATGGAATATCTATAAATGTGCATCACTTTAAGCTCATCCCGACTTCGTATAATTATTTGTCATAAAGGTGCGTGGAAAGTGCTTCTACGTGTTTGTTCACATGGCTGTTTAATTTGTATGATTGTGATCGCAATTTACGTTCTCTCTAATCATGTTAGAATCACTTATCTCTCTATGTGTCTAAGTGTTATGGTGTCGCAGAACTCGTTTTTCTTCCGGGGGGGGGGGGGGGGGGACGTCCTTGAAGTCACCTGAGCGATGATGACGGTATCAAAGTACTCCCGTGCCAAGCAAAGTGCTCCCGTACTCCTGTACTTAAAATGATATCGAAATTGGTCTGGACAACGCATTCTGATACATGAATGAATATTTGAATGAATTAATAAGTGGGAACAGTGGGTATTTTAAGGAAAAGTGTCGAAAACGGGATTAAAATCAGTATTTTGCGCCAGTTACTCGCCGCTAACGTTTTTTTTTTTTCGACAAAAGCACTTGTATAGTCCTATTTGACTAACTAATGTTAAGCAGCATATACATTGCAACCAGTGCCCTAAGACGTTTTGACTGTTTACGCAAAAATTAGCAAAATCGCCGTGTCACTGAATTCCGTCTTTGCTGATACTCATAAAAATGACACATGAAGTTAAAATTTAACTTGCAGTGATATTATAACATCTGTCAATAGTATAAAAATTCTTGCTCTCACCATTGGGTACAACGTCGCAATTTCAGTGTTTCGAGATGGATCAGTTTCTCAATAATCGGTCCAATATAATGTGAAGTAGCTCACAGAACAAGCAAATATTCCAATTACAAATAGGCACTAATACTTACGTCTCACTAAAGAGATCACGACGTCGTTATGTCACGGAGGATTGTCATCAGTATTTCACGTGGTTGACATTATCAGACTGCCTGACCTCACCCGCCTCCTGTGACAACTTCAATGTTGACAAGCCGCCAATCTCCAGAAAGATAACAGCTAGAAAACGTTACGTTGTAACTCAGCCGAGGCCTACAAAGACGTCGGATGTGGCTTATTTTCACTGTTCACAATATCACGCATTTTAACAGCTTGGAAATAATAATAAAGCCTTCTGATCTCGTAATGTCGCATGTCACCTCCGTATCTCTGTCATTCCTTTCACCGAAGCCATGTAGGCGACTGGTATCTCCAGTTCAACATCGAAGTATACCTGAAGTAGGCCTACATTACAGATTAAAGTGCATTTTCGTAATTCATATTGTACATTGTATACGTTCATGAAAACTCACTGGTTGAAAAAGGAAGCCTACCCACAAGTGACATAATATGACAATCTCTCAGTGTCGCAGAATTCCCGAGTGGTCGTTCACTGCTGTCAGGACAAGGTTGGAGTGGAAACAATCTGACCGTCTTCGGGAAGATAACGGTGGTAAACTTGTTACAATACTGATACCGGGCTATCCAGGTCGGTTAAATCGGATAGAAATGGTCTTCTGAGGGGAGCGTCTCAAAGTGAAGGAGATAAGGTGCGATAGAACTAAATTCAACGTATTTCGCTTTGCTATTCATTTCCGACGCACGCCAAGGTAGAATTGTATTTTCAGGGGGCGTAGAGGAAATATAAAATATGTAAGAGGCAAGTGAAGTTTTGAGTCACCCACTAAGCGCCAGGTAGGCCTATGAACAAAGCAAAATGAAATTTGCCTGGAAATATATACCATTAATAAACTGTTGAAAAAATAAGGATCTTTAAAATGATTTTGAGTTCTAGGTTTCATTTTTTCAGCCACTCTCGTAGGCCTCAAGCTGATGCAGGGACGGATCGAGGGTTATTTGAAAGGGGGGGGGGGGGGGTCGCGGATGCGAAGCCGACTACCCCCCCCCCCTTTGGCGTGGGATGCGGGGTCCGGTGAAGGGAACCGAAAAATTAAGGTAGTTTAGAGGGCGAACGGTGCCATTTGGTACGGTTTAAAATTTTGATTCACCTAGTCATTGGTGTGATTTTTTGAGAAATCGAAGAGGGGTCAGAACCCCCCCCCCTCCCCCCC